TTGCTGCATAAAAAGGTACATGTATACAGTGCAATACATAAAAAAATTGACACACACAAAACGTCAAAGGGGGTCAGTGTTTTTGATAAGCAAATTGATACTCAATTGGCCCAATTCAGTTTGTACAGTTGATAAATACACAGTTGATAAATCCACAGTTACCAATTTCAATTGGGCTAATTTGCTCAAGAAATTTACATACATGTATAAACATAATGCTAATTCCACTATTTTTACCATACTGGAGGAAAAAAATCATTTTGGCGCAAAAAATGTGTGTAATTTCTTATCAAAAACCCTGAACAACATACAAAGGTGTCTGTATGGTTACTATAGTGACTTTCAGTTATGAACATAAAGAGTTAATAACTTAATAGCATGTGTTCATTATGGAGCACTCAAAAAATTTAAAGATTAGTTTTCAATTTCCTTCAGTCATGTACATGTACATTGTAGATGAAGTATACAAATTACATGTACATGCAGTAGCATGTGCCTACCTTTTGTGGTGCCTCTTTGGCTATCAGATCAGATGTTCTGCTTTTAATAACAATATATTTTATGAGACGAGCAACCAATGAAGCAGGGATATCACCACTTGATAATGAAGTAACAACACTTTGGCAAACCTATTAATCAAAGTAAAATTTACATGAGCATAATGCTGTACCGTCTATCTGGAAATTTTTACTGTGATTTTAATTTTACTGGATTAGAATTTCGCAAAAAATTAGATTACCCATATAATTAGGTGCCACATTCAATAATAAATGACACAGTCTTATTTAGTAAAAATTAAATCACAGCACAATTTTAAAACTTAAAAATTTTCTACCACACTAATTTCCTAATCTACGGTATAATTGTACATGTACAAGTACTGTATGCTAGTATTTATTATTTAAACGTACCTCTACAAACAATGGTTTGGGAGTAGGAGCACTAGCTTGCTTACTTTTCCTCCCTCCACCACCACTGGCACCAGCTGATGCAAGTTTCGCATCATCTTTGGCCTAAATGCATTAATAATTATTATTACATGTATTATTAGTCCCAATACTCAAGCAATCAAATTCTTACTATAGAAAGAATTTTGTCTTTATTAAATGAAGAAAATAACCTGCGGGTTTTTGTGTCTATTGCTGATATCAGTGAATCAACTGCTTTATGAGAAGAGGCATCTCCAGGAACAAGGTAAATAACAAATGGCTGCCACTTGTCCTATTATGCAACAATTTTTACAACAACGATTTGAAATTTAGTCACTTACATCTTTTAGCTGCTCTTTAATCAAGCCTTCATCCCAGTTGACTGTGTCGGGATTAGCTTTGGACTTCTTATTCTTTGACATGGCAAAAATAAAGCATCAACAAAAATAGCGTTGCTAATAGCAACCAGAGTAATTTATGGTTGAGCTATAAATAGAATAATAGTCTAGTATCTTCAAGATGGCGTCGTTGAGCAGAATAATTTTTTGCATTGGTGCACTGTTTCTCTTTCATTCTGGGTACTCTGCTGTACAGCGTAAGCCTTTTAGATGCTAAATTATTTATTTTTTTGCCACAGACAAATCTTTCTTAAAATTAGCTGAGATGGATTATAGTAGTCTGCCTATTGATGTAAGTTGATTTTGTATTCTAATAATTTCTGTTCTGCATAATGCATATACTCGTAATTGCTACTAGGGGAATTAGTTACTGGCTTCTGGTATATGGCAGCAATAATTTCAAAAAAAATAACGTTACTCTAATACTTCTTAGCATCTACATGTATGTATACATGTAATTATACTCATCCCAAGGCTAATTATCATGATTTGTAATGGGCCAATTGCACTGCATATATTCCATAGCTGCTCACACTGAACGGCAAGAGATACTGGCAATGTATGTGCTGAATGTTGATATCAGGCTTTCTACCTTTTGAACTGATAAAGTATGCAGGAATACATGTACGATGAACTCTAGCTATGTTGTATGAGCTAGATATTGATGAGGCTGCATCTACCATGTCATTGGATCTGTGTGTTTATATTGTAGAATTCTATCACTCTTGGTAGCTGATACCAATCGTTACAATTGGGGAGTCCAATGAACTTGGAAGTAGTCTTGCTTTTGGGTGATGAAGTCTACATACTCATTCAGAGTCTACCATCTTGCTGTCCAGTGGATGTGACACTTGATTCATGATTATCATTTTTAATCAATGAATAAACGAAAATATGTCTCTGGCGTACATGTACATGTACATGGTACAATTTGTGCTCATGATATTTAGCCTTGGGAGAGTAAGTGCTGGTATTAATTAAGAACTGTGTATTATGGGATACAGCCTGTAATTTCAATGATAAAAATTCAAGTATCTTAAGAGTCTCATAGCTAGTGTACCTACTCTAGTGGTCTATAGACCTCTTTCTTTTCAAGTTATATAAAAACTGTGCAGTGAGCATTTCTGTGTGAATCAAAACATGCATTTACATGTAATAGGAAAATTTTTTAATGCACTTTTTGCCTATTCAGCTCGATATTTTGTACATACACCTATACAGCTCTCCCTCAAGTTAGTCATAGCACTGACAACTCATATGCTTGAATTCAGTTGTGAGAAAGGTCTGCATGTAATTATTTGCATTGCAAGTTGCCACATACAGAATTACCATCATAATTAAGGTGTCTATCATAATCATGTATCAAACAAGAACCTAATGATATTGAATTGCACATACAAGAGCAAAAGTTAATGGTATTTTGTTGTACATATACCGAAGGATTGAACTTTTTACCAAAAGAGCAAGACTAAATCTTGTCACTTCTTTACTTACTTGTCTCTCTATTTGAGCATGTACACTACAGGAATAGCAAGCAAATCAACTAGTTTTCTATATTAGTGGTAGCAGTTTAAGGGTTCTGTTTTCTGTCAGCTACAATGTATATCACCTAGGTAGAAGTACATGTACATTATGTACATCAATGAACAATTAATGGCTACATGCTATTGTCACGTGTGCAATGTAATTGTTTCATATGCATGAAACTTTAAAAAGAGACAGGATACTTTGTTAGGATTGAGTCATGCACTATCCTTTATTTTTTGTGGGACCTGTATAATGAAACTTGAACTACCTGTCTTTTTCTTTTCTCTTTGTCATTTTCACTTTCATGAATAGCCTTACTGTCAACATAATTATTGTACACCAGGCATGGTTACTGTGTTCATGTATTATGTAGCAACATCTATGTTTTTATTTAGATTACAGTTGAATGTTTGCTTGGTAGCTTATTGTGCTGTGTAGCTGTTCTAGAAGGTATGAGTCAGTATAGAGATTTCCGTTTGACAAGTGAATTGTATTCAAAGTAAGCATATACTTTTAATATACATGTAGTAATATTATTATAAAGCTATTATATAGTATTATCAGTACACGTAATTGTTGTACATGTACCATCAGAACCCATCTATATCCTGCAAAAGTTAAATTACATGTACATGTAGGTACATAACGCTTGCCTCTAGTAAAAAAATGTGTTGCAGTGAATAGTAAGAATTGTAACAGTATAAATATTTTGTCTGTAATTTTTTTTGTTATATAGGAAGCTTGATGGTGTTTATAACAAGCAAAATTTTATGATTTTCAATCACAGAGGCAGTGCTTTGAGTAATTAATTATAATTATTTTATTTATCAGACTGATTAATAATATTATTCACGATTTCCGGATGAATACAGAAAATTACTGAATAGGTGTGTCTATTTACCTGACAGCTACTATGGTTACACAGCGCTTGTACCTGCAAGCTCTTGTGGAAAGTTATCTTTAGACATGAGCGACGACTACGAGATTGATCTTACTATTGAGGCTGTAACAGGGACTGTGTATGACTTGTGTGTTAGTCCTTTTGAAACAATTCTTGGCATTAAGACGAAGATTCAAAAGCTAGAAGGTACACGTAGATGTACATGTATGGTAGATTCATGTATAGCGGTGTAGGCACTGATAATATTCCTGTAGTTTATATATTCTTTCATGTATCAGAATTTTTAGTTCTTTGCAAATAAACGATGTATTTTGTGAGCGTGGGTAGTATTAAAATTTTTTTATTTAACAATAGATTTCAATGCATAGTGCATATACATGTATGTACTATGTGTATGTGTAACTGTATTGTTTGCAGACTTTTCTTTTCCAAAATTAGATGTTTTGTGTGCATAAAATGTAGTCTTGCGAACCAGACCATTTCCAACATTTGACTACATTTTGACCATTGACTGCATTTTATGCATGCAATGTACATGTAAGTCAAGTAGTCAACCTATATATAATCAGTTTATACAGGCTAACAAATTTAGTGCTAAGGATAGTTTGGAGCACTGTTCTGTCACGGAGTACAAGGGTATAGGTAGGATTTTTAGAAACAAAGAGCAAGTTCACACCAAGCCAGAAAGCACACTACAAAATTTTGTAAAACAAAACCACTTTAAGGCATAACCACATCTCTTTTTTAGCATGGTAGACTTCTTTAACAATGATAAGCAACATTTTTAGTTTTATAATGGCATCAAAGATAGCCATTTTTTATATTTAAGTTGTAGAACAGCAAAAGCAGCTTATTATTTTGATTTTAAAAGGGCCTGGCTAATTATTTAAATAAAAAGGGACATTTTGTCCACCCCTGGCTACACTCCTAGATTAATGTGGTCCTATAAAAACTTGTCTGGTTCACTGAACACAGTTTAGTTTTAAATTAGAAGGGTTGGTAATTAGGTTTTTATTTCTAATGCACGTGAATTAAAGTACAGAGGTACATGTAGGATCATTTTTTGCCACAACAAAAAATTTTTGATGTGACATAGATACAGGTACCATATTTCCTCAAATAAAAGCCAGCTGTGAATAAACATTGGGGCAGCGATAGAATTGAAGTATAAATATGCAGATCTAGCCTAGGAATGACTGAGTTGCCTTGTAGATACTGCCTTAAGTTCCAGAAGTCAAGTGTATGAGGCTCCAGGTTTGAATCTGACTCTGGGCCCAATTTTTATTTTATTTTAAAAAATTTTTTTCAAGGTCAAAATACCATTTTGAAAATAGATGCCAGGGCTTTTATTTAAAGAAATACAGTACATGTACATCTACTTCTAAATGAGATTGTCATGTACATGTACTTACTGTATATTGCTCTTGTTTCCAGGTATTCCTGTTTCCCAGCAACATTTAATTTATGGAAGTACTGAGTTAATGGATGATTTATGTTTAGAAGAATGCCAGTCAGTGACAATAACTGTATGCATGATTTATTTTATGTTTCATGCATGCATGTTCATAGTGTAAGATCTGGTTCCCAATTAAAGTTGGTCATAGCAATGAGAGGTGGACCTATTCATGCTCATAGAAGTATGTTTATTGTCATTATTTATTGTTGTTTCAAGTACATGTAATTCATTTTACAGTTCAACTGGAGGACTTTGCCATTCTTGAATTAGCTGAATTTCTTGAATCACAGTAACAGATTCCTGTACATTGTATTTCCTATCATTTTATTTAATATTTTCATAGGTCTCCTGATGAACAGGACCAATATGCGGCAATATTTGTAAGGTAAAATTTGACTTACTGTACATATGTTACATGAAAAATTTCAATACCATATGAAGTACATGTACATGTACTTGTATTTAGAATTGTTGTTACATTGTAGATGTACATGCACTTTTGTTATGGGGTTTTTGTGTACAAGTACACAGTTTACATTCATTGCATGGCCTTCTTTTGTAGTAATGAAGATACTGATGTGAGGTCTCAGTTACACAGGTAGGCGGCTACTGCAGCACATGTACATTTTGTGTTTATTGTAATGTATTATTGAAGTCCTGTTGAAGTCTCTGAATCACGTTTAAGAGGTGGAAGCCAAACATCTCTAGTTGCTACTACTAATCCTACGAAGGTTAGTACATTTTACATCTAATTTCATTAATAGACAATTGTAATATTATTTTACACTGGTTTTCAATTATTTCCTTTAATTACATGTAGGTTTTGCCTACTTTTGAAAATGATGTGACACAGAGCAAAATGAAGGAGTTACAGTCCCGCCTTAAGTGTCTTCGATTGAGCAAAACTGAGGTTTATTTACATGTACATGTATCTGCTCTAATTAAGTTTATATTTTGTTTTTGCTAGGCTCTGCTATCTAAAGCTCTTGAAAGGGAGCAGTGCTCCAAAATGTAAGTACATGTACATGTACATGCATGTATGCCAAGAGTTATGCATTCTGTAATATTCATGTATCAGGTATCATTTGTATTAACATAAATTGATTAAAATCATGAGTGAATTTGCCTATATCAGTACTAAGAGTAACATGGTCATGTACTCTTGCAGTACTTACATGTACATAGATTTTCCATTGTGTCATACTGAAAAGCCAAGACAGCAAGAAAATTATATTATTGACTTACATGTACAATGTATGTAGACATTAAAATGCTATAGTCTAATGCATTAAGGATTATGCATCTGGCATTGAATTAAAAAACCAAGATACTGGTTTCAGCAAGAATCATCCTTTTATTGTGAGCACACTACAGTTGATAGGCATGTATATGCATGTAGCCATCAGCCAGTGAGTCAAAATACCCTATATTATTTTGTGCTCTTCAACAAAAAATATTTGTTATAACTTTAGCCTGTATTAATAAATATCACTTGATGTTATACACTTTATTTATGAAGATCAAACTTGCAGTTTTCACAGATTAGCATGAGTTAAAGCTCTGAATAATGTTTAATCACGATTGAAGGCATGGTGCTGCTATTGAATCCAGTCAATGCACACTATAATTTTAACTTATCTGTTGTATAGGTTGCGACATGATGGTTCCTCAATTTATCCTCCACCAATACACACTCCACCATCTTGTACTTGTGGTTGTCATAAGAAATGCTGCAAATGCTCGTGTCATGTCATTAAGAGTGGTACACAAAGACAACTTTGCTTTACTCCTTTCAGGGAAAGTGAAACATATCAAAAAAGACATTCTAGAGTACACACGCCCTCTTCAAAAGACTTTCAAGTTAGATTGATTATAATCTGATTTTTTTCTGGTTTTATTGCTGGTACAATGTAGATATTAGATAGACTCTCTTCTGGAAGACTACGTCATGGTGACAAAAGGGGAAGACCATGTGGTCCAACTACTGGATGTTCGAAAGCAACTATTAATGATGAAATTTCACGAAAAGGTTTGTGACCTTGATACTACACTTGTTTTGGCTACAAATTTGTTTATTTTTTAACATACTGTACATCAATAATAGGGAGTATACCTTTGTCTTCTTTTAGGTTCTAAGCAGCATTCTGTGAAACTTGTGCTATCAAATGACACCCAAGAGCATGTACAGCACAGAGATGATATGAAGCTTAAAAGTGGCCATTTTTTGCCCCCAATTGATTGTATAGTGTCTACGAAACAGACCAAGCCTAGGAAAGGTTACTCCTGCTTTTTGTGCTTTCTTTTTTTTACTGTTTTGTTATAAAAATAATTAATGCAGAAGTTGAACACAGCAATTTTCATTTACCTCCTATTAATCCTAAAGTGAGTCTAATTAATTTTAGTTTGAAAGTTTTTGTCTTTAGAATCAAGTGAACATTGAGAGAAATAAATGTATGAAATGCCAAAAAAGAACAAGACTTGCAAATTCCTATACTTGCAGGTATGCAATAAAGTTTCTCCATCTTGTAACCTCTGTTGCAGATGTGGTGGTGTTTATTGCTCTATTCATCGGTATGCTGAGACTCATTCTTGCACTTTCAATTATAAAGCAGAAGGAAAAGAACTTATTGCAAGGAACAATCCTTTAGTTACAGCTCCAAAATTATCAAAATTTTAGTAAAATTAAAATACATCTAGATCTAACAATAATAATAATGGGCGTGATTTGGGAGTGGTTTTGTTGCGAGCGGCAGTCAGCGGCTACTTGCTTACATTCTGGTGGTTGTTTCTGGACCTTTTGTGAACATGCCTGTACATTTGCAGAATCTACTAATTGTAAGTACAGTAAGTAGAAGTGAGGGTAGAAGTAAGGTCTTTAAAATTATGGTAATAAGTTATTTTCATTGTGGGCTCCTTGTGGTTTGATAAAGTAGGCCGAGTTTCTTGTCTTTTACCCTCGCTTTTACTTGCCAGCAGTTATATGTACACCACCACAGAAATATTAAGTTGAAGTAATTTTATCAAATCATGACAATGCTGCTTTGTAACAATTCTTGTTGTCAAGATTATCATGACTGTTTTTGAAAGTATTTGTGTATTTCAATATCTGTTCAGTTTGTTGATTGCATATTTCCTTTGTTTAGTTTATATGTTTTTCCTTGAATTTCTTAATATCGCCAGGTAATGTTGGCACTAGTCATGATGTGTATAATAAACAATAATTGTTATTGATAGGATATTGCAATAGTGAAACGTCTAATACTTCAGATACACAAACATATGATGTTGTTTCTTCTATCGATGACCTTTTTGAGGATGTAACAGCATCCTTAGATTTATTACCAAGGAGTTCATTTGCTTCTGATATGAAAGTTACGCAAACAGTGATTAACTTACTTATCTCATCATCCAGTTTTGTTGACATTATGATTAGTCCTACTCATTCTGTTAATGATCACATAATGTCACCTACTGATGTCACAAGTTTTATCAGTGCCATGTCATCAAGTAACCTTATCTTGCCTACTACTTCTTATTTTGAGGAAAGTAGTATAGTTCAGGATGCTATGTCTCTGGTATCTTCATTTGTTTCATTTGATTTCAATCCAAGCAGCACACAAAGTTTTACAGGAAGCTCTATAGATCTGACGACCAATAATCCAGGAAATTTTGTTTCTGTTTTGTCATCAGTGCATATGACTATAGCAGGTGACACTTCATCATTTTCTCTTTTTGTATCTTCTACACCATCAGCATCATCATTGTCCTCTGAAAGACTGTCAACAGTCGAAGTAACATTGATATCTTCTGAATCATTAGTTGTCATGTCTTCGCTGTCACAGGTAGATTCCTCAGTATTAACAACAAGTTTCTATAATTCTTTTTTCTTGTCATCGTTTTCGTCCCGGGTACTATTATTATCATCAAGCAGTGCATCAGTATTCTCCTCAGTCATTGTTCATTCTAGTAATATAGCTCCTTCAAGTGTGGGTCCTACTCCATCACAGGTAGATTCCTCAGCAATAACAGCAAGTTTCTATAATTCTTTTTTCTTGTCATCGTTGTCATCCCGGGCACTATTATTATCAAGCAGTGCATCAGTATTCTCCTCAGTCATTGTTCATTCTAGTAATATAGCTCCTTCGAGTGTAGGTCCTACTCCATCACAGGTAGATTCCTCAGTAACAACAACAAGTTTCTATAATTCTTTTTTCTTGTCATCGTTGTCGTCCCGGGTACTATTATTATCAAGCAGTGCATCAGTATTCTCCTCAGTCATTGTTCATTCTAGTAGTATAGCTCCTTCAAGTGTTGGCCATACTTCATCTCTTACCAGTTCTTATAGTATGCCAGTTTCGCCTACAGTCACACCAATTGTCTTTGTACCAGTTGTTACTGTTCGGTCAATTAATGCCACTTCTATATTAGTTTCCTGGTCTTCTGTTCCTGATGCTATTGGATACATCATATTAATACGACAAGGGAATAGTCTTGTGAAGAGGGAGGCTAACCTAAGGATTACTATTGATGTAAGTTTATTTCAATACCTGTAAATAGTTCCTTGTGTGTATTTTTGTTATCACTTTGTTCATTATACATGTGTACATTGTGCAAATGTCTGTTTCTTGTTTTGACTTCAAAATACTGATGTGTATTTTATTTTTAGGCTGGTTCAACAAGTTACATTGTAACAGATTTGCAACCCTATACAAGCTTCAGCATTCAAGTTGCTAGTATTCGCCCTGGTAATGTCACAGGAGATTTTTCTGAATCTAAATCAATTTCGACACCGGAAGCTCGTAAGTACTTAATTAAAGCTAGCTTTATATTGCTAAAAATGCATGAAATTTTTATTTTTAGCTCCTAGTCCTCCTGTTAATGTTACATGGCAGGATATTGATGATAATTCTGTTAATGTGTCTTGGTCATCACCGATATACCCTAATGGCGTGATAATCAAGTACATTGTCACTATTACTTTAACAGGAGGCAATGCAACTCAGTATAATGTATCTGCCACTTTACGCTCACTAGTAATTATGATTGATGCACAAGACTTTGTTATTACAGTTTCAGTTGTAAACAGTGCTGGTACCAGCATCCCTCAGATTGCTGTTATGAGTAAGGCTAAAATAGTTGACATGCTGCACTACTTTATTTCTTTTTTTGCCTACTGTAGTTCCATCGGAAACATCTGTTGTTTCATCTGTAGTTCCATCTATTGGTGGAAGTTCACCTCCTACAGATAAAGGTGGTTTATCAGGAGGTGCTGTTGCTGCAATTGTTATTATCTGTATACTTGCTGTTACCATAACAGTCGTAGTTGTGGCATTAGTTTTATTTCTGGCTTGGAGAAAATGGTTTGCTGGTGATGGTGTTGATGAAACGTATGTTTTATAAACCTACATGAATTAATTGTTAACATTTTTTATAGTGTTGGTGAAATGGAGTATAAAACGGGTGACACACGATCAAATGATGCTAGCATGTTAGTGTTCTTAATGTACATTTTTGTAATTTGCTCTTTATTCAGTGATTTTGATGAATCTGGTGGTAGTCAGACACAGCTTACTGCTAAACGATGGATGAGAGCTAATGCTAATTATAGTAAGATTATAATATTCCCCCATTTTAAGCTCTCTATGTGTGCTTACTTGAAATTTTACTTTGATATGCAAGCACATGTAGCTTTTAACTTGATTATTCTACCTTTAATCTAAGCAGTAGCTTGCTATAAGTTGCTATATAACTTTTTAATAGAGTGGTACACAGTTACACTTAAACTGGATTTTATATAAATACACATGTAGTGTGTTGCTTATCTGCATTTCAACATACATGTGTCTTCAACGGCTTCCCTGCTTTTAACAATAAGACCTAACATCTATATGTTTTTTTTTAATAAACAATAGGTACTCCATCGTCACTGTTGCCTTCTATTGCTGATCTTGTCAGTCGTTACTCAACTGCGGAGGATGTGGTGAACAAGACGGGTGACCATACTCAAACTAATGGTTTAAATGCCATTTTAGAATCTACTCAAATAGAAGATGAATCAAGGTACATATGATTGTTTGTTGTTGTTGTACCATACAAGTGTGTAGTGGGAAATTTTGGAGGGAATTAAATTTGGTGAATTTGGCGTTTTGATAGCCATTCATTGAAATACAAATCAGCTATTTTGAGCCATTATGCACATGCTCATCGGCACAAATTTCCCAAATTAAAATCCACCAATCACCAAAATGTAGCAATTCACCAAATTTAACTCCGTCCAAAATTTCATGCTACATATACTGTATATGGTATTATTAATAGTTTAGCTGATAATTGCACAATTAAAGCTTACGTGTGTAGACCAGTTGGCACTATAAGTACATGTACTTCACATCGTGATATCATAAATAAAGTTAACTTTTCCTTTCATCAATTCAAAGTCCTAAAATACTAATGGCACTTATTAAAGTCTATTAGCCAACTGTAGACATTGGACGGTGGCTTGTAATCAGTACCAACTTAGGATTGCTATGAGGAATAAATACAGCAGTTTTTGAAGAATAATTGAGTCCTATTATTGTTTTGTAGAAAGTAATTATAGCTCTTATAGCCTGCAACTACCAATGTGGCAATATTAATGCCTCACCAATATTTCTACCTATACAGTACTTTTATGGTACGTACATGACTATGTGTACATGACTATGTGTACATGTATGTACAATGTACATGTACATTGTATTTGCAAGCACTTACCTAAGGATAAGTGTTGTTCCAGAAATATTCAATTAATTAATTTTAATTTCATTATTGCACATACAGTTTTGAGAGACCTCATGAAGCTTCTAGCACAGTTTGCAGTCCATGTGGTGAAAAAGTTTTAAATGCTAGCAATAAAGTGTCATATGATCCTCACTCATTTTCTGAAAGGGAAGCAGGAATGAGGGAAAGTGAAATTGCTGATGGTAATCATCCATTGTTTGAAATGATGGAAAATATTTATCTTCCTGTAAGTGACTTTATACTTTGTATTATTAAAGGATGTACATGTAATTAATGTGCATTCTTCTTTTGCATGTTAGCCATGCATCTACAATGTACCATATAGCTTGATATTTTTTGTGGTTTGCTCCTAGTGGGGCAATTTGTGGTTTAATTTTCGTGGTTGACAGTTTACATAGCCTGTAAGGGGATGGCACTTCAATGATTTTGTGGGTTTAAATTTTGTGGGCAGCCCATAACCACGAAAATCATGAAATTTACATTCCACGAAAATTTCAAGCTATACAGTAGTTAAAACTTCTTAATTAACAGTTTCTACTGCATGTGACAAGCATGTATATGTACATGTACATTAGAAATTTTACATGGCAGATTTGCTTTTTTTTTTGATGTCATTGAGGCTTCTTAGTTACAGGATTAATAATTAACTTAATACGTGAAATGAATGTACCGGTATATGTAAGCGCCATATGTAATTATTTTGCAGTTACATGTACTTGAATTAGTGCTGTACTGCTGTCACTCAGTATTACTGTGTTATTGTTTAGAGTGCTGTTGATTTTGAAGCCCTGAAGCAATATCACTTGGATTCATCGCTGATTGAAATCAAAGAACAGATAGGAGTAGGAGAGCATTGCAAGTAAGTTGTTTTTTATTCTGGCATTGTAATTTCTTTAATAATTTAGAGTAATGATGGGAGTTCCTGAAATGTTACCTTTTGAAAAGAATGAAGATGTAGTTGCAGTTAAAGTTCTCAAAGGTAAATGTATTGGATTCTCACTCTGACTGTCATACTTTTTGCATGTAGATGATGCTGTGAAAGATAATTTATTATGTACTGCTCATATACTAACTCAGTTCTCTCATCATAACATTTTAAACTTACTGGCAGTCACTGCATCTCCATCAATGGTCATTGTTCCTTATTTGGAGTTAGCTGATTTAAAGAAATATCTTGTCCGGTAATATTTATTTTAAATGTATTAACTACATGTACATTTGTGCATGTGACATATTTTATAGAGTTAGAAGGCGAACTCGTTTAGAGTATCAACCTTGTAACTTCACTGTCAAAGATCAGCTCAATATATCTGCTCAGGTAATTTTGCATGTACATATAATAGTTTAGCTTTATCTTTACCATAGATTGCTAGTGGTATGGAATATTTGTCTTCAAAGTTTTATATTCATAGAGCTCTCCAATCTAAGTTAGTCTTCAATGTTTACAATGTACATGTACCTCTATAACATTTTATTTTAGGTATATTTTGCTTGATGAAGACTTCAATGTAAAAATATCAGGATTCCAGATGTCCTTATCACTTGGTCATGCATCTAACTATGAAGATCTTAAAAAAGCAGATAAACTGCCTGTGAAATGGTTGTCACTGGAGACACTTATTGATGGAAGATTCACTCCTTATACTGACAGTAAGTGCTGTTTTGTTGTATATTTTAAAGCATAAGTTCAGTGATTTTGAGAGTTTTTATTGGCTATTGTGGTTGCATGATCATTAAAATTAATTTGTCTTACATTGAGATATGAAACTTCAAACTCGCATTTGCTGTATTCTTCCTGTTAATTTGCACTATCTCATAAGACATAGTTGGCCTCATGACTTCAATCTCTGAAATAATTTAAAATTATATTTTGATGTCTTAGATTACTGTAATGCTGTAGCCTAGCTGTGATAATAGCAATACAGCAATACATTATAATTATAGCAATCAGAAGCAGATTATTCTTATTGCAACATTATAATGACAGTAATTTTTTGCTCAAAAGTGAGTACTAAACTTATTTTATGTAGTGACACTAGTTTGTTATTTTTAAAGTCAATATTTGCAAATGAATAAACTATTTTTTATGTTTGTTAATGCCCTTGTTACTGTGGTTTGTATGCAACTGTGGTTGTACGTAGTTTTATTTCAGTTTGAGCTGACAGTTAATCGTATGAGCTACATGTAGTTGCCAAACAATTTACAAAAGTAGCATTGACAGCAGCCTAATGCTGGACAAGAGCTGCATGTACATGTACATGCACATGTACTGTATGCGCCATATGTTTTGTTGGGATTAAATTTCATGATTTTCGTGTTTTGAAAATTTCTCGAAATTTAAATCTGCAAAATAGCATGCTTATTGTATAGTTGGTGTTGTAATTACATTAAAATTACAAAATTTTTATTTGTGAATACAAAAATACAGCCAAATCACAAAATTTTATACCCATGAAGTATATGGAGTATATGGTACATTGCACATCTGTACAAGTCATCATAAGGTATTTTAGGCATTACATATTATTAATTTCAAATGTGATACTGCATCCACTAACATGATGTATCATGGCAAGCAAAAATAACTAACTTTAAAGAATCATACATGTATCTCAATAAATAATTTTTAAGACAATATAAATCACCGAACTTACTCTATCTTTTGAATGCTACTCCATATACATGACCAATACATTTTTAGTTTGGAGTTTTGGTGTGGTACTTTGGGAGATATTTTCATATGGGCTCACTCCATATCGAGTAAGAAAAAGTGTGATATTAATGCTTAGTTGAAATTGTGACTCCAGGGATTACAAAACTGTGATGTGTTGCAGCATGTGAGTAATGGAGAGAGGTTGAACAAGCCTTCTGATTGTCCGCAAGATGTGTAAGTTGCTAATGTGTTTTTTATTAAGCATACATGTACATGTACTTACTTTACTTTTTCACAAAGCCATTGAGCTTTTCTTGGCTTTGCCAGTGATTAGTGCATGTGGGCGAAGACTATGTATACTGTAGTTTGTGGCTGTCTGTCATTTATTTGAACTTTGCAGTTTTGTAGCTTTAAATGGAGCTTCCCTACACTCACAGAACTTTTCCACTGACTTGAAAAAGTTTGCTTCTGCTTTATTGAGTATAGATGGCAGTGCAATGCATCCAAAGCCAAAAAAAGCCATCAAAGCTTGTCAGTTATTTTGTGTGTTCTGAGTAATAGGGCTTTGTGTAGGAAAGAGAGACACACAGAGACTTTTAAAAAAACAATAACATAAAGTATTATTGTAATGCAGTGTTACTATTTTAACTTTACATGATAAATTGACCTAGATTTACCTTCCCTGCATTTTGTTCATATCACTTTTTGTGTGTACATGTATATGTTACATGCACAGTAGTTAGACTAGTTACAAGTTATTATTTATACTTTATAGACATGTACATTCATGCACATATACATGTACGTGTATATAAATAAGGTTACATTGAGAGTCTTAGCTGGCGCTTCTCTCAAAGTCAAAATAAAATATTTTGTCCCAATAACTACATGTACATGTACTAAAACAATAACAAACATCTACATGTACTGTACATGTATGTACATGTACCATACATGTGCATATATTATTATTTATTGTTTTTAGTTACACTCTTATGTTGCATTGCTGGAATGAGAGATGTCGTGACCGTCCATCATTTAGTGAACTTTATAAGCACATAACGGGCATAACAGAAGTTACTAGGAAAACTCAGGACGATTGCACTTTCAATTTAAATGCTTTTGATATTTCAAGCGTTTCTCAGTCTTTTTCCACTTCTTCTAATGTCGACACTTCAAACCAACCACACTTAAACCCTGTTGTTACTATTAATGAATCAAGTCCAGCAGAATTAGAAATGACTGAAGTTGTTCTGCGTAATCACGAGAGAGATGACATGAATCGAGTTGAATTTAATGTTGATGCTATCACTGAAGATCCTAGTCGTCATAGTAACCATTCGTCAATTCCAGAAATAGTTTTGTCTACTCAGGCAAGACCAGAGTCTCATCAGTCAGAAGTTGAGCTTCCTCATCAATTAACAAGTACTGAGGAGTATACTGTTTTATAAAGAACTTATTGGTGTGTTTTTATTACTTCTATTACTTATTTTTGTTTACCTTTTCCACAAAATTTTATATAACTACATGTAGATCAAAAACCCTTCTTGATAAATAATTAATACATCAATTTTGAAGAGCTCTTTTGTTACTGTTTAGTATAAGTTGACAATGCCAACAGGATCAATGATAATACAACAATGAAGTAATACAATCATTATTACTGATAAAATTATTTCTACAATTATCTACTGATGGCCAAAAAAGGTAATTTGAAAGTCTAATGCCTCTGAAAGTTTATCTTCACTAATATGTGATGTTATCCATGTGATGAATTCATCAAGTGATATCTTATCACTGTTACCTGCAGGATTTAATGTTTTGACCATTGCTTCAGACATTAACTTGTATTCTACATCTGTGTAGCCTGGGAGTGTCTTTGACAACACTACTGATAGTACCTTCTGAGTAATGCATCTACCTGTCATAAGGAGACTGAACATGTATGTTAATTTATCATTAATAGAATGATACTGCCATTTTTCATTATTCCCATAAAAGGACTCTTGGGTTATTTTTCCATCACGACTGCTCAATTTTTTTAAAACAAGGTGCTTGCAAAATGGTTCAGAAGTGTAAGGATCCTCTGTAAAAATACTTGCCCTCACAAAATCTTCTTGCTCTTTTGTTAGAGTGGTGAACCTCTTCTCAAGCACCTTTTTATCTTGATCAGTCAAGTTATGCCCTCCAGTTGCCATTAAGTGCTTGAGGTGAGAATTTGAGCTACCAGCAGCCACACCCTTGAGCTGTTTGAAATGGGTGTGAACTGACAATTAGCTCCACCTCTATTCAGATATGAATCACAATTTAAAAAGTCTCTTGCTTCAATGCCAAAAGACACTGAGAAACAAATCTACATTGCCTGAAGACTCCTCATTGGAACTATGCAAAGAGTTTGATGTAAGTTCCCAAGTCTAAATTAATAGATTTTTTACTTTTTGCGAATAGAAAATACAGCTAAAGGAAAACTCATTAATGCTGTCTAGATCAACACCATATTTAAATGACATGCTTCAAGCACTTATTGATCTATTACCAATTCCATTAGCCTCAACTGCAAGAACAAGACTTATGTCAACACTGAATACGTTTTCTGCAAACAGTTCATTGAAGGATTTATTGGTAGATGAATATGATATTATATCTGTTCTAGTGTCAATATTACCTTCACTTCAGGATCAACCGCTAAATACAGTAAGCCATCTTATTGAAATATGTAATAATACGTGATAAAAATAATAGTGTCTTCAATTACTTGTCAGTCTCACCCAAGGAATATCCTCCTCTAATTATATCTCACTACATGGAAAAGAATGTGAACAACTTATGAAGTATTGTGTTTCAAAAGTGTAAGGCCATACCAAAACGTAATGTAATTGTTTTAATTACACTGCAAATTAAAAATTTTATCAAAGACTTCATATATTAATTAAGTACATTGTATTTTCTGAGCATTGTATATTGTTTCAGTTATTACAACTCCTTTTTTAAATATAATAGGACTGCTGGATGCACACAACCATTGCTGTATCTTGAAATTTTGATTAATATTTGCTCTGGCAACATTTCAGCTCAAGCATGGCTTAAGAGATTGGTATGTCAACCTTTTGAGAATTAATTTATGTCTACGTGTACATGTATGTAGCCTGGCTATGATTTGTTTCAACATAGCCTGGTGTCTTTTTTAAGGGACAAAAATGTGTCTGTAATAATAGCATCACTTCATTTACTAGCTATTCTTTCTTTAAAAGAGCAACTTGGGAGCAAGGTTAGAAGTATTATTATTATTATTTTGAAGGTTTCATGTAGATTTTTAAACCAGCTAATATTGATCAAACATTGCATTTAATCTTAAGTATTGTGTGTACAAGTTTTGATACTAGTACTGTTGGACAGGCTATTGGTTTATTACAGTTGTTATTGTCATCATCTCAAGAATTTCAGAAATTATTGGCACAGTAGGAACAAATAAAACAATGTATATGCATTTTTTGTTGCTATAAATATTATGCAGATATCCCCAACTCAATCAATGCTTAGATAAAGGATTCAGGAGACTATCTGAAGTTAATGGAGACATTGCTACTAAGGTACATATACACATGTACACACACTCTTGTTTCAATTCTTTATAGATTTTAGATTTATTCACTTCTTTGATAACTTCAACACCAGAGCTATCTCATTTAGTTTTGAGTATTTTGCTGAAAGATGACACTTCTTGTGATGATAAAGTACCAAGTCCTTATTTAAATTTAATGGAATTACTGAAGGAGGAAGAAATAAGTTTTGCCAATGCTGTCAGTACTGGATTTCATTTCATTTATTTGCTGCTAAAGGTAACAGCATGCAATTTGTCCATTCCATTTTGTGCTATTAGGTACCTCAAGCTCTCAATAGGATGGCACATTTATCTGCTGAGACCCATTCTTTGATCAGCATAATTAAGAGACTCTTTTTAATTGACTGTATGCACCAAAGCCTGAGTGAAGAGGAGCTATTTATAGGCTTGCAAAAGCAACAGAAAGCAATAGCTGTATTATCCAATATCCTTTACCTACCATACACATACATGTACATAATAGTTATGCTGTTATAACTTTGACATTTTCAAACTGCTCGTTAGCTCAGCTTGCACAAGAAAAGCTGTTTTCTCTGTTCTAGATGTTTCTGTGTTACTAAAGTTTATAGAAGATCTATTGATGCACAGCGTATTGATTGATGGAGTGCATCAACACATACACAAGGAACAAAGGTTGCATATTCAATACAGCATATACTTTAATGTACAATCCTCATTGTATGTAGCAATCTTGTAGTTAGTGTCACTGTAGCTTCCATTTTCATACTGACATCTTTTCCTTTTGAAGCTAATTCTAGTCTACAGGTAAAATGTAAATAAAGTTACCTACATATTACTATTATTGTTATGTTTTAATAGACAAGGATTGTTTCACTGATGTCTGTAAGTACATTTACATGTAGATTTAAATGCATTTTTATCGGGAACTCTTTCAATAGGATAGTAGACTCCTTTCTGTTTTATCTCGTGCTTTATGTGGGAATAAGAAGGAAGACATTTTTCTTGCTATATCTATTATATGTTCAGCTTATAACACAGCTTTGCAACTAGAAAAGTAATTTTGCCAAAATCTATATCCTCGATGCTATTGCTTTTGCCAGTTTTAGTGAGGTACATGCTTCTTCTAATACTTTTAATGAACAGTGCTTTGAACAATTGCTGCCTTCTAAAGCACCTAGTTCATTAACATCAGTAAGAAGTCACAAGGCTTGTGATTCTAAACAATTAGATCAATTAATTGAAAAATTCAGATCATGTGTTGAGGTACAGTTTATGTACATGTAGATCCCGCTTTGTAACAATTTTATTTTTTTAAGATTCAGGATATTCGTGCTTCTGAAATAATGGGTATATATGAGCACAAACTACAAACTATGATGGTATGTGATATTGTGTAATAGTGATGATGTAGAAAATAATTGTAGTCCAAGGAAGGTCATCTTCAAGATCTAATTGATGCCAAATCACAAGCAATACTGCAAGGTGATCGTTTGTTGAAACAATATAGGACAAAAATGGATCACATTGATTCTGAGGTACAATACTGTAGAAAATTTTGCAATATTTGCATGTATCATTCATTTAGTGTCATAAGCTTAGGAAGTTACTGCAGGAGACGGAACAGGATAATGAAACTCTTAAGGATAAGGTTAGGCATTTTCGAATATTTTTATTGATTTAATCCAATGAAGATTTTAGCTTTAGAGAAGGAGCATTTATCAAAAGTAAAATTATTTACGTGTATGTTATCTAAGTGCAGTAACTGACATTTGGATAGATCGAAAATTTTGAAAGGGAAATAGTACATCTAAAACAAGAGATTGATGAACTAAAAGTTGTTTATTCTAAACAATCACTAAAGTATTGGATAAAAAATAGCCTTGTTTTTGAATAACTCATTAGACTTGAAGACACAGAGAGCAAAGTAATGAAGGCAATGAAAGAAATAGAAGAACAGCAGTCAAGAATAACCTCACTTAACGACATAAAAGTTGACTTAGAGTTACAAATAGCTACGTAATCATCATAATTTGCTACATGATTATCTTCTATTAAATCAATATAGGAAGAATACTGAATTAGATGATCTTCTTTGTCAAATTAATACTTGTCAGTCATGTCTGAAGTCACTGCAGATTGAACATGAAAGTAATTCATTTTGATTACAATTAGTTTTTATTGTATGCACTTGTTGCCTTTACAAATTCTTTGTGCAAAAGTAAAAACCCCAGCTCTGTTTTTTACATACATGGGCAATTGCATTAATGTTAATGATTACAACCAACCCATTAACCGCCTCTCTAATTTTATTACTATAGACCTCAGAAGCCATGCAAATGATCAGATGATGAAACTGAATGATTTAGAGAAATCCAATGCTACTTTGGAAGGAAATATTAATGAGCTCTCTCAACAACTAACATTAGCTCATAATGAAATTGATATGTTAACTCAACAGGTAAAGCACTTCGAGACAAATTAAATATTCTACTGTTTCTGAATTATATACACACAGAAAAACATTATTGAAAGTCATAACACTCAATTGCAAAGTGAAGTCACAAAATTAAAGGAAAAGGAAACTGAGTTGGAACATAAAATTGCTCAGCTAAGTGGAGAAGTTGATCTCTTTTCTGCTGTTAAAACTCTGATAAACAGGGGCCAAGTCTCAAATAGCACATAGATCTAATTTGACTTTTAAAATAATGATTAAGAGATTATTGTCCTGCATGTCTCCAGTCACAAAACGCAAACAATTTGTATTTATAAAAATAACAGTGAGTATTACAATTAAATCTAAAGTGAAAACAAACTAGATTGCAGTTTCATTTCTGGACAAGTGTGATGTGGCTCACCACAACAAACCTCTTGCGTATCAAGTAATATAAACGCATTTTTTGTTTCAGACAGCATGTATCTAGCATAATACTCTTCCTTTTCAAAATTTAAGGTTCCATTTTTAAACACTTGCTTTCATAAATCTTATACATAAGGCTCCACTCATTGCCTACCTGAATGAGATATTAGTATACAAATCAATACTTAATATAATGTCTTATAATATTCAACCTTTGTGTAAAAGGACCAACCTAATAAGCAGTGTTATGGAAAGAAAAAAGTTATAAAAATGAGTGAGACATTGATTTACATTGCAAAATGTATTTTAATTTCATTACCATACACAAGTATTCCAGCAATAGATCTTATAATTCATCAATACAGTTTACTTAGTATGTAAACAAGACATTTCATAAAAATAACATCTGAGTAATTTTTGCAGCAGATGAGTAGATCTGAGGTTCAATAAACTTGTAAAATATTATGCTTAAAGACTAATGCATTATTACAGAGACTTAAAAATAAAGAAATGAGTTAATATTAAAGTCCCATTCTTCTTGGAGTGTACTTCGGTGTCCCTGGATCATGTAATCCTGGAGTTAAAATGGATTGTTTTCTACAAATGATATGTGCCAGAAAAGATATGTAATGAAATCAGGTTTGCTAAATTAATGAGAAGAGTAACCACAATAGTACAATACAGTATGCAAGAGCATGTACTTTCTACAACAAAACATGAACCTTACTTTTTTGAAAACGACTTTATATTTGCTTCATCCTTCATAGATTTCAACTTTTGAGATGCAGCAGCTAATTCTGATTCCATTTGATTTAATTTAGCTTTCACTGCTTGTTTTGTACCCTAAATAGATATCACACATTATTAATGCACACAAGATTTAGGTAATTTATTTCAACAAAAATGGGACACAGCTTGAAGGGGATACAGCTCTTTTGAACCACTGGCAATGTGGTGAGACAAAAGGATATCATTATAGTTGGGACTACTAGTTTAGTTGGAAATTTTGCTAGCACATTCATTAACGAACAAAAGTACATGCACAACTTCAGTAGTGACATCTTTCAGAAGACTACAAAAACAATCAGATGACCATGCAACGAGGAATAAGTTTGTAGTCAGGATAAGACTAACGTGATAGCAATGAAATGTAATATAATGGATTGTAAACGTTATAATAATATTAAAATTTGATCACACATTATACACTTAAACACAATAGTAGCCAGCAAAAATAAAAATAGTAGCACTGCTGAAGAAACATAAGTTAAAAATTAAGGAAGGTCCTAATCACTATCATCATCTGGGTAATTAGCCATATACTTCTCCTCCTGTTCCATGTATCTCTGATAATGGTCATCAACTATCTGAACAATATTGACTTCATTACCCCTCACACGATACTTGTAACGTTTAGCTAGAACTGTAAAAACTATCAGTATCAATAGAATTAAGACACTCTTTGTTACATAATAGTAAAAACTAGTGCAAAAACCACTGTCCACACAATGAAATAATAGACTAAAAGTTGCGTTGATGAAGTAACCAAAACCCCATGAAGCATTCCATATGCCCATCATAAGACCTCTAGTGTGTATTGGTGATTGAGCAATTGTAAATTCCAATGATGCTGGTATTACACAAGAAAATGTTATTCCCTCAAGAACATGAGGGATGATATATGTATACTTGTTGCCAAAACTTGGCATTGAATCATAAGTAAACTTCAAAAGTATCAATTGAGAAGCACTCATAAATAAAGTAGCGATTAGCCCAACATTGACTCTAAACAACATACTTGGAATGTACTTGTAAATAAATATTTTTGCAAAGAGCAGGTATAAAAACAATAGAAGTAGTGCAGCAACAAATCTCCAAAAACTATTATTTAGCAAGCAGGGCAATACTGAATTGTTAATAGAAAAATGCCAAAGATGATGGAAACTAAATGAATAGCACACCACTGCTATAAAAAATGGTAGCATACGAAAAGAAGTTTTCACATCTTCTACCTCTTCCTCAGTGAATGGTCCACCATATTTATCCTTTCCAAGGTCTATTCGTGAAGGAGCCTCTTCCTCCCAGTAGGTTAGGGCACTACGATTCTCAGGATACTTATGATCCTTGGCATAACACAATACTCTTACCATCAGTTTGATGGGATTCTGTATCAGTGACACATTCTCCACTTTTTCCTTGCATAATGAATAAGAAACTAGAACGATAGAAACAGTGACTCCTGATGATATGAAAATACCGAGCAAAAAAGTTCTTTTTGGTCATCAACAAAAAAACAGGCACACAAGCGAACAGTAGCTTCTATAACAGGTATAGCTGCAGTATGCCAATATATGATAGTGTTCAGTTCATTAGCAGACGCTCCAACAAGTTGATCAACATTAAATTGGACAATGTTAACTTTAAAGCATCCATAACCCACAGCACCAAATAATACAGGGACAATATAAAGAAACCACAAAAGTTTAATGGAACTGAGATAAACATGTAGCATATATACAATACATCCAAAAATCCAAGATATGAAACACAGTATCATACCAATTAGTATAGCTTTGTATCTTCCAAGCCACACATCAGAAAACAAACCAATGAAAGGAAAAGAAAAGAAACCAATTAACATCAAGCCAGCCAATCCATACAACCAACCACCAGAGAAATAAGCTAGCACAAAGGTTCTTACTGTAACATTATGTAAATACATGACATAGTCCCAAAAGAGAACTAACAGAGCTGGAAATGATATGTACAGGGAAGAACATCTTTTTCTGAGCCAAAAACATATGATGCTTCGTTCAGTCATCTTTGCTCAAAGCAAATAATGAATCATCAAACAATTACCACACCCCATTGTGAAAAAATTATAATGCATGTACCATGAACCTGCAAGATGGTATAAATATTATGATTCAGTCTAAAAGGAAGAAATTAAAACAAGCCAAGTACTGCTCTTCTGATTAATGGTCATTCAGTAGAATGTACAGTACGATTTAGAAGAGAAAAAATTGGCATTACCCTTAATTCCTCACTACAATCTCACTATACAAATGTTCTACTTTTCTGCCATGATTCCACTCAAGATAAAAGGGAGCTGCCATGGTCCAAGAACTAAATGTTCTGATTATAAAGTAGTTCAAATGTTGCCAATTAATCGACTGAGAACAGATATTCTGCTTTTATTATCATTTAACTTCTAGCAAAAGAATGTTATCCTTGAGAACAAAAATCAGATCATTGGTATGCTGCAGTACACTACTGAACATCCCACTTCTAACTACTACCATACTAAATGACTCACTTAGATACAGCACTAAACATTATTAAGAGTACAATTTTTTGAGGGCTCAAAAAATAAATCTATAAAAATCAATTTCATAAAATACCGTATAAAGCTTTAATTTGGCGGAGTTTTATTTTGGCGATTGGCGGTTTGCAAGCAGAATTGCCAATATTAAAACCGCCAATCATTAATGCGCATGCTCAATAATGCACGTGTACACAAAAATCACCAAATTAAAAACCGCCAATTACAATTTTACAGCAAAATCACTAAAATAAAGCACTGCCAAAATAAAGCGCCGCCAAAATAAAGCGTTATATGGTACAAGAAGAAAGTTTTGTGAAAACGAAATTTAAAAAAAAAGATTTTTCAGAAAATTCAAGCAATATTCGGTGTCCATGAAGTTTAACTTAGATAGGTTACACACAAGTGCATATAATTAAGTATTAGTTAAAGCATAGTTCCCCGTGCTGTACGGGAAATACAGCACGAGAGGTGTGGTTGAGAAAGCCATACAGCAATCGGCTTCACCTCATGCTGTATGGCTTTCTCGACCACACCTCTCGTACTGTATTTCCCATACAGCACAGGGGGAACTGTGCTTTTACTAGTTTATGGTCATAGTGTGTGGGTGCATCAAAGGCACCAGCCCTAGCACGTGTTTTAACTCTTCAAAATGGAGGAACTAGTAAAAGAAGAGAAAGATGAACCGCCACAAAAGAAGAGCAGAGTATCTCCTACAATTGCTCATTTTAGTTCTCCTACTAAGCAACTAGCCCAGGATAGAGAAGAAGAAAAGGAAGATAAACCGCCACAAAAGAAGAGGAAAGTATCTCCTAGAACGACTCATTTTGGCTCTCCTACTAAGCAACAGACATTTGAAAAGGCTACCGAAGGTGTTGTACCAGACAACACGAGGCAGAACACTAAATGGGCCCTTTATACATTTACATAATGGCTCGAGGAACGTAATAAGAGAGTGAAAGATTCAACAGAGTCATTACCTCTTGAACTGTTGTCTTCCAGTGACCCTGAGTGCATTTCGAAAGCTCTAAGGCTGTTTGTGCTGGAAGCTAGAAAGGTTGATGGTGCACCATATCCACCAAGTAGTCTAAGGTGTCTGTTGAGTGGAATAAACAGGGAGTTGATAAATAACAAAGCTGGATTTTCTATTATGAATAGATCTAACCTTCATCTTCACGACCTCCATTTACCGCTGGACACTGTAACTAGCAAGCTTCATAGTACTGGTATGGGTCTTGATAAAGTAAAAGCTCAGGTTATATCTAAAGATTTGGAAGATATGTGTTGGGAGAAAGGCTCTTTAGGTACTTCATCACCCAGAGTTCTTCAGCATACTGTTTTTTTCTATATTGGGTTACAGTTTGTGCTTCGTGGGTTTCAAGAGCAGCACGATTTGATGGTGAGGCAATTAGTGAGATTTCCTAATGATCAGACCACTTACTCTGGTGATGTCTATTACGAATACACAGAATTTATTTCCAAAAATAATCTGCATAGATTTACTGATAGCAAATCAACAAATAAAGTTGTGAGAGCTTATGCAACACCTGGATCTGACCGCTGTTTGGTGGCACTTTTGGATATGTATATACATCTTTTACCAGATGACTCGGAGTATTTTTATATGCGTCCTTTGAAATCATTTCCTGCTGATCCCTTAAAACCAGCCTTTTGCCGTCAACATGTTGGTGTCAATCAAATCAAGAAGTTTGTGCAAACTATGACTGGTGATGTGAGTTACACTAATCATAGTTTGAGAGCAACAGCAATGACCAGGATGTTTAATCAGGGAGTATCTGAGAAAGAAATTGCTGAAAAGTCTGGGCATCGCAGCTTGGACGGCTTGAGGTCATATGAGCATCCTTCTAGGAAATTGGAAAAGGCTGCTGGAGAGATTATTGCAGATCCTACTGGATCGTTTCAAGATGTAAAAAAAGAGAGAGAGGGAAAAAGAGAAAAGAAGGAAGAAAAGGGAGAAGAGAAGGAAGAAAAGCTAGATTCTAAAGATGAGAAAGAAGCAACTCCAGAGCTGAAAGAAGAGAAGAAAGAGCAGCCACAGTTGAAACAACAGCTACATGTACCTCCTTTTTCTCATCTAAAGCATTGCACTATTAACTTTAATATTAATTATGGAAAGTGAACTGATTCTTGAAATACAATTAACAAAAATTTAATTAGATTATTGGGGGCGGTCACAGTTTATACAACAGGAAACTACAAACTGTGCTGTATGGACCACAAACTGTGCTGTATGAAACTGGAAGTGTGCTGTATGAGATATACAGTACAGGCAGTGCCTTTGATGCACCCACGCACTATACTATAAGACTGATTTACAGTTGAAACTAAGGCAATATACATGTATATTTACATGTAAACCAAGGGCCAAAATCAACTCCAAAAAGGATAGGAATAATGGCTATTGGTTTATTTTGCACTAACTACCTTAACTTAAAGCCATACCTCACGTTAAGTTTCAAAGTGTGAATCAATCAGCATTAGTTAACATACATAGTTACATACATGTATACTCTGCTACTTACTCCTCTTGTAGACGAGCTACTTTTAACAGTATAGAACACAGGACCTAGTTCAGCCAGCCATAGTCCATCCACTGCTGTCACACACTGCATATACTCCTACAACAAATACAATATAAAATCAAACTGACCAAAAACTTCCATGACTAAAATTAATTTCAATGTCATATACATATACGTTTTACAAAAATAAAATTATTAAAAAGTGATTACAAAATGATGAAACCTGATAAATTTATGACAATAAGAATTATTGTAGTATGGTTGACTTTAAGATCAAAGGAAACTCAGAGTCTCTATATCCCTCAAAGTACTGTGAAGGCACTCTTAGTACTCCACGGGATTTAGAGAACTGTCGTTGTCCATACTAAGTCCTGTATAGAGCTATGGGAGATTTGTCTCCCATAGCTCTATTGGACTTAGAGCACTCCAGTACTGGAGTACTAGGAGTTGAACTTTGACCCTTTGGAAGCCAGTAGTGACTTCCAGAGGAAGTTCTAAAAACCTATCCAACCCACTTTAATTTTAAGCAAGGAAGGACACAGAAGCAATAAAGGGCTTACTTTATAAACCTATAATTCTGACAAGGCTCTAGTGGGGCACACTTGTGGTCAGTGGTCTATGAATATCATTGTGGTGACCACGTGACATTGTGGTTTCTCAAAGTGGCACTCACAGGAGTAAACAAAATGGCTGAGCTACTACTTTGCTTTGGAATATTTCTCCCACAAGACAGGCTCTAATAAGGTCAGGTTCTTCTGAGAATTCCTTGATCTCAAAGTCAAACACTACAAAACAATTAAAGCATGGTTCCCTCGTGCTCAATTAGATTTATCTGCACTCGCTTCCAGTCTCGTTGCTAAAAATAGAGCACGAGGCCGAAGGCCTCGTGCTCTATTTTTAGCAACTCGACCAGAAGCGAGTGCGGATAAATCCAATGGAGCACTCGGACTCATGTTTTAATTAATACTAAAACACTATACTGCTAATGCTCACTGACTGGAAATGAAAAATGATCTTACAAGTATGTGTACATTTGCATGTATATCACAATCACCTTTGTTGTCATAACTAGTTCATGATACACTATATAGTCAGGAGTAAATCCCATTCCATATAATCCACTAGTTGGATGAAGGTGACAGGGCATTCCAGTACGACAATTAACATATTCTCCAATACCCTAATGTAGACAAAAGTGTACAGTACAATCATAATAGTTAGCTGCTGTGCACAGCCACACAAAAATACTATTCATAATATGACTCTTATTATTGATATGTGTTTTGATAGCTCCATTACAATAGTGCTAGTACTGCCAAAAATACAACTTGTGGAGTTGTGGTATTGTCCGTGAATCTTATAAGGATTAATAATAAAATTTACCCAAGTAATACATTAAAATTTGATGTTTTATTGTTCAGTAGCTATTTCCAGTGGCGATTGTAATCCTAATGACTGCCACAAAGTAGTTCATTTTCATAACATCTATGTACAGTATATTGCAGGATTGCAATTTGAGCAATCTGATTGTGACACAGGAAGCAGACATTTTAGATGGCAGTAGCCCTAATAAAAATGATGTTGAACACTTGTCTGTACACAACATGGAGTGAACTCATTGCAGCAACCATAAGAGTTGCTTAACTTGCTTTGACTTTTACTATTGCTGCAGCAAGTTGGTAATTAACACAACAATAAAGCAATGTAAATGTAGGACAATAAGTCACATAACCAAACAGCTGTGTTTAAGATTAAAGAGGAAGAGTTAAAGGCAAAAATTAAAAAGGAAGGAACCTACATGTAGGCTGCTATACTTCTTTACCAAGGTTTAACAGCAGCGGCATAACACAATAGTGTTACTGTCATGTGTTTATATTTAAACTTCATTAAGTAAGAGTAAATGCTATGGCACTTCTTGAATAGTTGCTACTCTCCAATCTGATTAAAATTTTTGATAGTTTGTTGTTTTAGATACATTACCTTTCTTATAGTTTTATTAAACATGCACAATATTATGAACATGTATTTCATGTAAGTATGTAATATGTGTATTTTAAAAACATTATACATGCTACACAAACATGGCAGTATACAGTATTAACATTAGCTTCACATTTAAGTACTACTACATGTAAGTGCATGCATGTTGCTGTAGTGAGTAAATTGCATATTACAAAAAAAGTGAAACAATCTATAAAAAGTGATATAACATCCTACAAAGCTCACCACTCATGCCTAGCAGTATTGCTTACTTTTAATCTAGCTGCCTGATGAAAGTAGGCCGAACAAATGCATTTACGCACAATATCCCATTCAGTACCAGTTGATATAACAGGTAATCTTTGTTGGTCCATAATATCCTTCAGTTGAGAACGAACTTCCCTCACCTATGAAATGATATTCAGGATTACCTTCTGCTTATTACATACATGTATGTGTCCACAATTTTTACTATCATTGCCATAACTATATACACAGCATAGCCACTATAAACATGCTGAAAAGACTGCCAACTTAGTGTCAAGTGTGCAATAAATTTTTTAAGAACAAAATACATTGCATGTACTCATAACTCAATAGTTCACTCACTTTTCTCATTGCCTTGATATGTATATAATGTTCATTGCACCAATGAGTAGAATAACTATAATAGAACAATACACAAAATATAATATGCTAAACAGAGGAGCAAATCACAGTAAATATACTCATGACTAAAATATAGAATACCAACAAAGGGCACTTACTTTTAATGTACATGTACAAAGGTACAAACACAGAACTACATGTACTTTACAAGTCAGCGCTTGCACGACACAAACATGTACATGTTCACTGTAAGTAAAACAATATGCAAACAAAATTCTTTAATTGACTCATGCATACACACAATCACACTCAAATATTGAATTAGTACTTGTACATTATAATAAAACTTTGATTCAGTAAGTACATAATAATGGTTATTGTGTAATATTATATAAAACACTAAGCAAGGTACTGCTAACTTGTTTAGCTTCCACTGTTGATACACATAAAGCATCGTTAAGTGGTCACTTTCAGGTACTTGAAATTTCTCTCTCACCATATCACTTTCCTCTTCCTTGCCTTTGGGCCGAAAAAATATAGATGGAACAGACAGCATTGAAACAATTATCTATGATGCATAATGATAAATCCCACAATGATGAAGGCATATTATAAGCACATTGCAAGTCATTAAAAAACAACATACCAATACTTCAGCACTACATTTCATATCAACAGACACAATCAACATCTTAGAGAGTGCAGGGTCTAGGGGAAACTCAACCATTTGACGACCAACATCAGTCAAAGCTCCTGTGTTATCCAGTGCACCAAGTATCCATAACTGATACATTGAGTTAAGAATGTTATCCTAAAATAAGTAAAAATAAGTACAGAAATGTATGAAACTGTGTAAGTAATTATCACATGCATGACAGATGTATATGTGCATCCAAGCTCGCTTATTTTAATTACATGCATATAGTTGTGATGGTATGAATACAACATGTGAACCACAGCCACTAAAGCTGCTACAGAGTCACTTACAAGCAGAAGATAAATGACAATGTTTACAGAAAATTCACAAAAAGTAGGATTACACAAAAGCCAGTCAATCATTCATGTATCATGATCATTCAATGCAGCTACTGCTACAGTGCATGGAATATTTACTTGAGGTGGTGGATCCATGAAATGAAATTGCAACAGATCCTGTATTCCAAGAGATTTTAATAATAGGACAATATTAGCCAAGTTTGTTCGTTGAATTTCAGGAACTGTGCTTTTCAACATTTCATTCTTATATGCCATTTCAGTATAAAGCCGGAAGCACTGACTACAAAACAACTAATACACAAATCAATACTAGGAAGACAATTACCCAGCTCCTGTCCTCCCTGCTCGACCAGATCTCTGATTAGCATTAGCCTGTAAAGCATGTACTTCATTATTTAGCAATAAATAGGACACATACCTGACTGACAGGGAACACTTGAAGAGCATCCATACCTATCCTAGGATTAAACACTTTCAACTTGCAATAAGCAGAATCAATGACAAACATTATTCCATCAACTATAAAAATATAACATCAAACTATATAATCATGTACAAGACTACAAGACTTGTACAAGTAAAAGTTTATTTTGATATGCACAATTCCTGTAATAAACACTGTGATCATTTGCTAACCAGTAAGAGATGTTTCAGCAATGTTAGTAGCCACAACACATTTTCTGACACCATCTGGAGCTTTTTCAAATATTTTAGCTTGAAGGTCAGAAGGCAATTGAGAATAAATTGGAAGAATTGCCAATGGAGGAGCATCTTCAAGATCAGCAAGACGTTCTAAAACAAACACACATGTTGAGTCAAAAAAGAAAGCACCATAATCATGCCATGATAACAGATGTCATATCTTACCAGCAATAACATCACATGTAGTTTCAATTTCTTCCTGTCCTGGCATAAAAATTAAGATGTCACCTTGTGATGGAGTCAAGTGTATCTGAAGACACTGCTTAGCAGCACTATCAACATAATCCTCACAAGGATTCTGAGTATACATTATATCAACTGGGAATGTTCGTCCAGGTATCTGGAGATGAGAATATAAATTTTATTACAACTTACAATAATTATATACTGTAAACCAACTTACATTGAATACAGGAACATTGCCAAAAAACTTTGCAAACTTATCAGCATCCATTGTAGCAGATGTAACAATGAGCTTTAAGTCATAGCGATGTGACACAACCTACACATAACATTAAAGGACTTAAAGAACCATATATCATCTACATCAAATCAGCATAACATAATTAGCCACTTCATACATCTCTTAATAATCCAAACAGTACGTCAGTATTAAGTGATCTTTCATGAGCTTCATCCATTATAATAACAGAATATTGATCCAAATCAGGTTCTCCCAATGATTCTCTTAACAATATACCATCAGTCATATACTTAATAAAAGTAGACTACAAAAAGTAACAAAATAGCAAACATGAATATTAGTGCCTAAAACATAAATACTGTATTTATATAACACCCAGATACATGTACATACAGCCCCAAACACATTAATATACTAGCTGAATTGTGATGTTGCAAAAAAATAAATACTGCTAAATGCATATACTTTTGATGTGACATCTTCAAAACGAATAGAATACCCAACTTCTTCTCCAAGCTTTACATTCATTTCCTCACTAACTCTTTTGGCAACTGACATAGCAGCTACTCTTCTAGGCTGTGTACAACCAATAATTCCACTTTTTGAATAACCATCTTCATGCATATACTATGAATCATGAAGAAATGAAAGCTACATTATACAAGCATCAGTACTTGTGTCAGTTGTGTTGTTTTGCCAGATCCAGTTTCTCCAACAATAATGATAACATTATTGTCCCTAATGACTCGCAAAAGCTACATGAATTCAAAGTTAAGATAAATGTAGTACATGTACATTAACAATTTCTCAATTTTGATGTACACATACATGTACTGTATATAAACAGTGAATAACCAATAAGGGTTTAGCAAAAAAAGCTATGTAGCTTCAATTTTGCATACAAACAAATTGGTTGACAATGACCGCGATGCATACCATTACATGTCTACCTCCAGAGGAGTAATAAGAAATGGTGATCATCAATTTAAAACCATTTTAATGTGAACACAATTACATTTGTAATGCAATCAGTGCTTTCTAGTGTAAAAAGACCTTAAAAGTCATGAAACTAAACAATACCAATGTAGTATACTAATTTGATGTGAATGTGCAATGCTACAATCATACAATATCACAACTACAATTTACTTCATCTCTAACAGCAAAGATTGGTAAGAATTGGCGCTGCTGCTTTAATGTTCTACTCTTAGCAAAAGCACTAACAGCCTCACTGCTCTTCTGAATATGCTGAGAAAACTGTTGATCTGACTTATAATCGGTTGAACCATCTTCATCAACACCCTTATCCTAAAAATTATGTTAAAATCAATTTATTGATTTTAGACTTTGGGAAAATAAAGGGGGCATATTGTACAGCTGAAAGCATTGGCAGGTACACAATATTGTCAGATTGATGGTTGCAGACTTGCAGTGATTAATCACTCATATAAAATCTGAAAATTTTATTCCATTAGAAGTGGCTTTGGTAGTGAATAGCTATCATACATCATTTATTTTAAAATATTCATAGAAGGACTAAATACATTGACAAGAGCCATACACTTGTACAAAATTACTTACTGTTAAAAATTTAAACAGCTAACATATAACATACATTAGAGTAAACGAAAACACATAATGCTACCCTTACTTTGGGATCTTCTTTAGCTTTTATACCAAGAATATTTCCAATTTTAGTACCAGCTAATTCCCAGTGCTTCTTCATGCCTTTAGTTCTCTCTTTCTCTAATCTATGATGCTTCACAAGTTGACTTCCTTTTCGTGATAAAATAGCTAAATCTGAGGTCACATCCTAAAGTAAAGAAACAATGACTCATATAAAGTACAACCTGGTGCTGCCATAATAAAAATAATTTTAACACAAAAATTCAAAAGTTAAAAACCAGTATCATGATAAATCAGTATAAAGGTACAACATAACATAGCTAATCTGCTTTTCTAAGTCTATACTGCAAGATAAAAGTATTATCTGACATAAACTCTGTATATCTTCACAGCAACATGTGCCACATGAAGGTTATGGCAGCTCTGATACAGCATGGAGTCAGATGACATTAGACCAGAGACATACACTGTGGAGAACTCTAATTAATTATTATTCATCACTGTTAATTAATTTTGCTAAGCATGCATCGTTGTTAATTTTGGGGAAGAGATTTTGTGACAGAGAAGAAGAAGGACATATTGGGAGGGGATCCAGTCTAATCCTGACTACTAAGAAGTCAAGGGAAATAGATTTGAGCCATATATTCATCATACACACATGCATTATAAAGCAGTCTAAACTAGACCTGATTTATAAATGAGATGTTTGGGTTGGTCTTTCTTTACAGGAATACAATAACGTAGAGCAACAATAAAGGTAACAAAAAGAAGAGTAAACTAGAAACAAGTGATCAGTTAAGGTGTACCACTAGGCTTTCCTCACAAGATATTCAGGTTTAGGAGGGTGTGTAAAGTAGGATGACTGGTAATTAGGGACAGAGATGCACATTCTCACAAAAATTATACCGTAGCCATTGATTCACACAATTAGTACAGCTGCTTTCCACCCAAGAGTGTGAGTCTGACAGTGTGGCTTGCAAGGCTTTGTGTTTTTATTTTTTTAATGACGATTAAGTTATTATGGTTAATCAAGGTTAACTCAGTCAGCGAATATATATATACGTCAGTTGTAACCACAAGACAAGATAATGAGGCATTTGCGAAACTAATAATTAGAATTAGAACTAATACGGCTTGGGGGTGTTGCTTAGAGACGATTAAAGTACTCACGTACAAATGTAGTAATGCCACACTACTGTGTTGTTCCTGGCTGTACTAATAGTTCGATTACACATCCAAGGATTTCATTTCATCGTCTTCCATTAAAGAGAAAGAATCTCTTAAAAATATGGGTGCATAAAATTAGGAGGAAGAACCTACCCATCAATGCTAACTCTCGAGTTTGCAGTGCCCACTTCACTTTTAATGTCTTGCCAATATGTGGGACAGCTTACGGCAGTAGCCTCTGAATTGCCATCACCCAGACATTGAGTAGTACTAGTAGTTGGGGCTGCTGTAGAGTCAGGATCAATAACATT